GCAAGTTGTTGCCTTGACGCCACATAGGACAAGCATACCATCCCATCTTCTACTTTTTCCCTTATAAAGTGTCGATCAACTTCGACATGTTTGGTTCTGCTATGTTGTACTGGGTTAAGCGCCATGGTTAGAGCTGCCTTGTTGTCACAAAAGAGTTTAATTGGTTCATCTATAAGGACTTGTGCTTCTTCTGCTACTCTTCTCAGCCAGAGACCTTCCATTAGGCCTTGGGATAATGCTCTTAATTCAGATTCTGCACTGCTCTTGGATACTACATTCTGTTTTTTTGCTTTGCCATGTTACTAGGTTGCCCCACAAGAAAGTGCAATACCCAGATGTGGATCTGCTGTCAGCCTGATCACCTGCCCAATCAGCATCAGTATAGATTTCCACCGTTCTAGACTCACATTTTTTGAAATAGAGTCCTCTTCCTGGTGTCCCTTTCAAATACTTTAGAATTCTATAAGCTGCATCCATATGCTTCTTTCTTGGAGAGTGCATATGCTGACTCGCCACGCTAATTGCGAAGGCAATATCTGGCCTTGTGTGTGATAAGTAAATCAGTTTTCCGACCAACCTCTGATATCTCCCAACGTCTGCTGGTTCTTCATCTTTCCGCCGTTTCTTTTCTTTTTCAGCCTCCTCTTTGGAGGATGGTTTCTTCTTGCCCTTTGTGGCGCAGTTCTTCTTGACACTTATTGGAGTCTTACTTGGTTTACAACCAAGCATGCCAGTCTCTTTGAGCAAGTCGAGGATATATTTTCTTTGAGAAACATAAATGCCCCTCTTTGAGTGAGCAACTTCCATACCCAGAAAATACTTAAGTTTTCCTAGGTCCTTGACTTCAAACTCTTGATTCAAGGCAGTCTTTATCCTGTTTATTTCATTTACATCATTGCCTGTAAGAACGATGTCATCCACATAAACAATAAGGATAGTTGTTGTAACATCCTAAGTTTTTATCGGGTTTTAATAGCCTCTTTTGGGTTGATTTTGAGGATAGATTAGTGATTTAATCTTGATCTGGGTGTTTGGGTTGAATTTGAGGTTTGTTGGAGGAATAGGTGAACGTACCCCTCTCAAGGCTTCGCCGCGGCGCACCGGGAGTTTCAGAGGGGAGTGTCTTCTCGGGAAGGTTTGGCCGCGGCGAAGTTGTTCAGGTGAGCGAGGCTTCCCTTTCGGGAAGGTTTCGCCGCGGCGAAGGTAGGGGTATGCCGCGGCGAATGTTTTCTGGGCTAGCGAGAGTTTCCTCTCGGGAAGCTTTCGCCGCGGCGAAGATTGGGGTTCGTCGCGGCGAAGTCAGGTTTTCAGGCGAGTAATCCCTCTCGGGATTAGTTCGCCGCGGCGAAAGGTCGCGAATCTATATAGTCGCGGGAGGGTTCAGCGTGCGAAAATAAGAAAAATCTGAAGGAGGAGAGAGGAGCTCTGCTAGGGTTTCGAACTTTTGGCTTGGAGGAGACATTTCTAAGGATCCATTACCTCAAGTAAGTGATTTTAACCTCTAATCTATTTTCTTGATTGGAATTTCTGAGGATTTTTGGTAGAACCCTAGGATTTTCTAAGTTGTGATGAAACTGAGGTTTTTGATCAATTGTTTTGAGTTTAATTGATTGCATTGGGTTAGTTTAAGTATTTAATCGGTGTAGTTTTCTTGGATTTAAAGAATCTTGAGTTTTTGGAGCTAGGGTTTGTGGAAATGGATGATTTGGGATTGAGGATGATAATGTAGAGATTGATTTTGAGTTTTGTGAATTGGGTTATGTTAAGGAGGGTTAAATTGGATGTTTAATCGGTTTAGATTTGTTGTTGGAACCTTAATTGCTCAAATGAGATGTTGGAGGTTGAATTCCTATAGTGGGTTCTTGAGGTTTGAATTCTAATTGATGCTTGGAAGGAGACTTGATGTTTTAATAGACTTTGAGGACTTTGGAGTGTTGTTTTGATAGTTATACCCTTTGAGTTGGGTAGAGTTTTGATGGGAGATAGGAATTTTGTGTCCCCAAGTGTTGTTTTGGCCACATTATTAGTTTGAAAGCTAATATATGATGGTTGTGTGTTTGTGTGCTTGTGTAGACCGGTTGTGAGTCTTGGTGGTGCACGGGGCCACATCGTTGGTTTGTTGTTCCTTGCTCAGGCGAGAGGTAACCACTTTCCAATCCTTAGTACTTGCTTCTGTGGTATTGTGAGTAGATTTGTGTTTTGTGCTCCAAATAGTAATTGTGTTCAAACTATATGTTGTATATAAAAAGGGAAAACCGTCTTGTGGGGCTTTGATTTATGATGAATGCATTTTTGGAATTGTGAAAGATATGCCATTGAATGAGGTTAATTGTGAAATGATTATTACTCTTTGATTATGATTTGAGCATGATGCATGATTTGGGATTTGGTGAGAGTTTGATAGTTACTACCACGTGGTAAGGCCTCCATTAATGCATGATGGTTGGCTTAGTACGTCCCCCATAGTGAGGGATAGGCCTTTTGGCTCCCTATGTCCCCCAGAGTGAGGGATAGGCTTTTTATGGCTCCTTACGTCCCCCATAGTGAGGGATAGGCCGGCTCTGGCTCCTGAAAATCCCCCAAAGTGAGGGATTTGGTTGATGGGATTGCATCATTGCACTTGCATGAATTGTTATGGCTATCGTTTTATATTATTTGTGAACTGCCCCACTTGACACCTCACGAGCACCTATTTAGTAGTACTTAGTATTGGAAAGGTTGGTTACTGGGACTTTGTCTCACCCCGTGGTTTACAATGTTTTCAGGTGAAGGTTTCGGGCGTGTGCCTTCGGGAAGAGACGCAGAGGCTTGAGCTTGGTTAGCTTTAGGCCTCTAGCATTTGTATATGTATGACTAGTATATATTGCCACATTTAGGACTGCTTTTTGATATATTTGATTACCCGGCCTTGTTGTAAACTGGAGAGAATGTATCTCCTTATTTTGATTGGCCGGAGACCATTGCTAGTGTTTGATGAACTCTGGATTATATAGTTGAAAACTTTTTAAATGGGCTGACTTTGATGTATGTGTTACCCGGGCCGGAGGCTCGGAGGCCCAGTAGATATGAATGGATTATTTTAGTTGCATGCAACGTTTATCGGGTTGACTCGAGTTTAAAAGTCAATTTCTAAAAATATGAAATTTTCCTTCTACTATGGTAGCTCGTTTTAACAGCTTTCCTTTTCTACCATAGTAGTGGACTTTATGATGATTTATGATGTTTTTAAGGTTAAGGGTTTTTACAGTTGTTAGGTTTCCCATTTTTCGAACAAACATTGTATGATCAGACAGACTCTGTTTATAGCCCTCATCCTTTAGGACCTTGGAGAACCTATCAAACCATGCACGGGGATATTGCTTTAAGCCATACAAAGATTTCTTCAATTTACACACTTGATTTTGCTTCCCTGTATCAAAACCTGGAGGAAGTGTCACGTATACCTCTTCTTTCAACTCACCGTTTAGAAAGGCATTTTTGATAACTAATTGTTGTAGAGGCCAGTCTAAATTGGCTGCAACAGATAGCAGAACCCTGATTGTGTTTAGTTTCGCTACTGGGGCAAATGTCTCATTGTAGTCTATCCCATAGGTCTGTGTGAATCCCTTCGCTACTAGGCGTGCCTTGAACTTGTTGAGTGTACCATCAGCATTATACTTAGGGGTAAAGACTCACTTGAACCCCACTGTTTTCTTCCCTTTTGGTAGGTCCACCACTTCCCATGTTCCATTTTTTTCTAGTGCCCTTATTTCTTCCAATACGGCCTTTTTCCATTTAGGATGGTCAAGTGCTTCATACACATTGTTAGGGATTTTGACATTATCAAGATCAGTAATAAAAGCATGATAGTCATGAGAAAGAGTTGCATATGAAACACTTTTGGATAGGATGGTTGGTGCAAGAGCAACTCTTCTTTCTTAATGTAATGGGCAGATCGTCTCTGTCAACTTCCTTTGTGGGTTCAGGATCTTTCAGTTGGTCAGATTCTGGCAGTACTTGGGGCATGTTGGGCTCTATAGACTTATTATCTTTATGTGAGTAAACCTTGTGGCATTTCTTACTGGTTTTCTCTCCCCTACCTTTGGCACCTCTATAACGGTGGAAGACTCAATAGGAGGAACAGACTCAATAGAAGACCCAAGGGAAGGTGGTGGTATAGGTTCAGGAATGTGTTCCATAGGCTGAAATTCACTCGAGTGCTCCCCCTGAATTGAAGACGCGGAAAAATAGGGAACATCTTCAGAAAAAGTGACATCACGACTGACATACAGACGTTTAGAGACCGGATCATAGCACTTATAACCCTTTTGGTGGGAGGAATACCCTAAGAAAATGCACTTAACAGCCCTAGGATCAAATTTGGAAGGAGTTTGATGAAGATGGACAAAGACAGAACAACCGAAGACACGCAACGGAAGGTAATGATCAAGATGAGTAACAGGGTGAGTTTCACAGAGTTTGTCCAATGGGGAGACAAAGGAAAGGACATGACTGGGGATACGATTGATTAAGTGGGTTGCGGTGAGGAGTGCATCGCCCCAAAAATATTTAGGCACATTACACGTATATAGAAGTGCTCTAGTGACCTCTAAGAGATGTCTATTCTTACGTTCAGCCACCCCATTTTGTTGTGGACTATGAGGACAGGAGCTATTATGAACAATTCCGTTGTTTGTGAGAAAAGTGGCCAAATGGTTATTAAAGTACTCGGTGCCATTGTCACTAAATAACACTTGAATTGTGGTGTTGAATTGATTTTTGATGAGGTTAAAAAATTCTATGAATACAGTGGGAACGTCAGATTTTTCCTTAAGTAAGTAGACCCAAGACATACGTGTATGATCATCGATAAACGTAACAAACCATTTAGCATGGGAACGATACGAAACACGAGACGAACCCCAAACATCGCTATGAATTATAGAAAAGGGACGAGTGGGTTTATATTGTGAGGGCGGAAAGGATATACGGTGGTGTTTGGCAAGTTCACAAGAGTCACAATGGGCAATAGAATTTTTATTAATAGTAAATTGAGGAAACAATCGTTGCAAATAAGAAAAACTAGGATGACCCATCCTTTTATGCCATAACAGAATATTATTATTGTCAGGGTTGGAGACAAAACCATTTGTGCGACTACACAAGGCCCTCACGGTAGAGACGTTAAGATAATAGAGACCATCATGCTCCTTAGCTGTGCCAATCATCTTCCCCGATGAGAGATCCTGAAAAATACAGAAAGTAGGGAAAAAATAAGCACCACAGTTTGCATTTTTAGTTAACTTGCTAATAGAAAGTAGATTGCAGGCTAGGTGTGGAACATGTAACACGGAGTCAAGGCGAAGAGAATCAGAGATATTAATCGTTCCTTTTCCCACAATAGTAGACCCAGTACCAGTAGCAGTGGTAATTTTCTCGTTACCGGCACAAGGAAGGTAGGTAATAAACATATCAGCATCAGATGTCATGTGATCAGTAGCGCCGGTGTCAACAATCCATTTGTTGGATGGGAACACGGTATGAAGAGCGAATGGGGCGTTACCTGTAGTAGCTGCGGAAGCAGAAGCCGTACGAGGCTGTTGTTGTGTTTGAAGACCCTTAAGCGCAGTAACCAACTGGTGTAACTGTTCAGTGGTCAAAGGAGAGGAATCAGGATCTTGCGATGCTTGGTAGCCTCGCGACTTTCCCTTTCGAGGTTTCCAGTCTGCTGGTTTACCATGTATATCCCAACAACGGTCACGTGTGTGGCCGGGCTTTTTACAATGGTCACAATAAACCTTAGCTTTATTAGATGAAGATGATGACAAAGGTGCACCCTTGCTGACCAGAACAGAGGAGTCAGAAACAGAGGATGGTGGAGCAGATAGCATCACTTGTCGTCGAGATGCTTCTCGTCACACCTCCGAGAATGCTTCACGAGTGGTTGGTAGAGTAGATCTACTAAGAATATGGCTACGAATATTATCAAACTCAAAATTAAGTCCAGCAAGGAATTGAAAGACTCGTTCTTTCTCAACATTCTGCTTATACCGTGCCGCATCAACAGCAGATGACCATTCTTCGCACGAAATTGAATCCAATTCCTGCCACAGAGCAACGAGCTCCAGCCAATAGTCGGTGATGGAACGGGTACCTTGTTTTAATTGCCAAATACGAGTTTTAATCTCATAAAGTTGAGATAAGTCTTCACCGTCTGAGTATGAGTCTCGCACAGCGTCCCAAATCGCCTTTGCTGAGGGAAGATACATAAAGCTGCGCTTAAGCTGAGGAGTCATGGCGTTGATTAACTATGATGAAACTAACGCGTTCTTGGTCAGCCACTGCTGCATTGCTGGAGACGCTGGGTCACTCGGCTCCTTTGACTCACCGGTAAGAAGACCCAGCTTACCACGTCCACTAACGGCCAATTTCATTGCCTGGGCCCACTCCCTATAGTTGGCTCTAGTTAGCTTCTTGGAGACAATGGTGACAGAGGACGATCCATCGGTGCTGGAGGTCGACTCGAGAGGACTGCCAGTTTGGGTTTTAACCGTCGGGGAGCCACCAAGAGAGGGGTCCATGTTGACCGAATCTCCCTTGGGGTTCGACCCGACTCGAGCTGCCTCCGAAGTGGAGGACGTTGACTATGACAATGATGGACTGGATGATGGAGGAACGTCCGCCGGCTCTGGTACCATGAAGAACCGGTAAACTTTGAATAATTCGTATCTATTATTCAGTTACGCATTGTACAAATATATATACACCGAAGGTCAAACCGAAAGATTACAAGGATAGGATTACAAGATATATTAGGAGAGATATTTGGAATAATTTAAATTGAAACCGATCCCTCCTAATCCGCCTAATATCTCGGTGATCTAGGAATATCTCTCTATTAACCACAGTATTAAGAAAGATGATTATGATATCTTAGGAAAAACGTGTCACATTTCTTATAATTAACTAACTTACCCAACTTCCTTAATCTAATCAAATTAGTTAAATAGGTCTTATATTAAGGACCGGAGGAGTATTAGAATAGATAAATATAAATTACTTCAAGTTAAAAAGATAAATATAATAAATAAATGAATCAATTTTTTTAGTCAAGGAATTAGATCTTATATTCAGATAAAAACTTCTACACATAGAAATGAGTGCGTCTATTATAGGATTTGGTCATTTTGGGACTCTAGTGCACATTTACCTTTAATACTCATATTCATTTTGCGACTCTTGTGAAATTTTTTAATGATTATACTTTGTCTTTAATGCTTCATATTATAGTAATTATCCTATATAACAGTGTGGTGGGTATGTATTAATTGGGAAACAATAAACTTGCAAACTGGCAACATGGTACAGGTGCTCACGGGCTGATGAACCTGATTTTTCACAAAATCAGAAAGTACGGTGTAACATCCCAAATTTTATTTGGATTTATAAGTAGTTATTTATAGAAAGTTTAGATTAAATCTTTGATCATGCAAATAAAAAATATGTAAAATAATAAATTTAAGAAAATGAGATATTTAAAAGAGAATCATTAAAATAAAACAAAATTGTAAATAAGTGCATAGGTATTTAAAAATAAAAGTAGAAAAATTGGTGATGGATGATGATGATCATAATAATAATAATAATATGAAATTGATTGAAATTCAAATTTCAAATATGTTATATGAAGTTTAATAAAAAAATATATATACCTATATTTATATATAAACAAAAGAATTGAGTTTAACATTAAAAAAAATTATATTGATTGATTCTGGTATATTTCATATAAATCGGTTATATGTTTAGGTTTAATGGGATTTGAGATAATAATAACAATAAGATAAATCAATCAATTAATTAAATGAAGATTTATTAACTTTAAAGATATAGTAACTTGACCCTACTTCCTACCCACTCATTCTTTATTCTTTAGTTGTTACTTAGTTTCTTTCAGCTTTTGTACTACCGTGAATTTGTAGCTTTTCAGAATGCGTTACTCCTTCTTCTACTCTAAACATTCCATCTTTATAAATCAAAATACATTCAAGGTAAACTTTTTCCATTATTGTTTCTTTTCCTTTTTTTTATTACCTTTCTCATAATTCCTCTTTACCTCATTCCTTTCGTCCTTTTCCCCTTAGTTCACCGTAGGTCTTCTTATCATTATCTCCAAGACATACATATGTTTATTAAAGTGTGTACCTACTTTTCTTTTATTTATTTTTTCTTTTTTTTCGTTTCTCTCCTTCATCACATCTGACAACTACTATTCATGAATATATATACATATACATTAATAGGAAAAGGTATGAGACTGATTTGACACTATTGACTATTGTGTTAATATTTAATGTTTTTCCCCCCTTCATTTAGCCCTCTTTCTTCCCTCACTCTCTTTCTTGTATCACGTGTTTTTGTTTCAGATTTTGCCTCTTCGTACGACTATGCATATATATATATATATATATGCTTGGTAGAAATATCCACAAGTGTATATGCGTCTATATATATCATCACCCTTTATTTTGTTTTTGGTGTTCCTCCCCTCTAATAATAGGTGTGTATACTTATATATATGTATAGGTGTTATGCCTTACTTATATAATACCTTAGCATTCATTTAGAATCATTCCAGACCACTTTGGATGGTCCTAAGCTTAAAAATTTCAATTTGGACGTTAATTTTCAGAAAATTACGGTTCACTGTCCAGTTTTCAGATTATAGGTCCAACTTTGAAAAATCATAACTAATTCTAGAAAAATCGTATGGAGGTGTTCCAAAATTCTACGGAAAGCTATTTCAATGCTCTTTAAGGGAAAAATACTCAATTGGACTTATTCTTGTCCAATTCGTACAGTTTATTAGATTAAGATTACTATTTGTTTGGTAAAATCTGGACTCTCCAGATTCTGCGCCTTAACTTTGAAAATTCATATCTTTTCGTATACACATCCAAATGAGGTGATCTATCTCTCATTTTAAAGCTTGGGATGTGTACTATAAGTCTACCAAATCTTGTGACTTAAATCATTCATTTGATAGGTCAAACTGAAGCTCAAAACTAACTGCTTCAGGACCTACGTTTTATCCTTTAACATCTCTTTGCTTTAATTCTTTTTATTTCTTTGGCATGCCTAAGATGGGCTTACTTTTTCCCATTCATGCTTATGCATTCCTATACATGCCATAAGCTTTATAATTAAATACATGGCATTCACAACATAATTATAACATAGGAGAATTATACATTGAATATTAGTATCAATCATTAGCATCAATAATTCTCCACTTCTTCTCCTTGCTTCTCATGCCCTTAGTGCCCATCATTGATTTGACCTAAATGGTTGGTTAGGGAAGGGGTGAGATTCGGGGGAATCTCAATAGCAAACATTACCACATACATGCACAAGATGGATGCTAGTGTATGGTATGTAGTTTTTCATAAACTTAAGTTAACTAGTGACATGCCATCATGCTTTATGCTTGGTATAAAAATGCATGGCCATGGGAACATATTAAAAACAGCATTTCCAGCAACAATCATCATGTCACAACATCATTCAAACAACAAATACAAACCAACACATAAGCATACCATGTCAAGCACATAAAGGGTAAGTTCACTACCTTGCACCTCAAGCTTTCCTCTTACTTTTCCTTTGACTCCCTTGACTTTCCAACCATGTGGGCATTCGGTCAATATCACTAAACATCCTCTTGGATGTTCCAAAGGTCCTAAACATAACCATAATGATGACACAATCCATTAGATTACATAAAGTTCAAGACTAGCTTTCTTGAACCTCAACCCCTTTCTCTTAGTCTTAGGATTTTCTTTCTAACTTTTCTAATATAAATCTTATCATTTTACATCCTTATGATCTATTTCCTATCAATTAGGACCACTTTAGATGGCTTTAGATTCAAGAATATCAAATCTGGAAATTTGGTTCGCGGGTACTGTTCACGCAGAATCTCCAGAATTTTTGCTCAACTTTGAAAAATTCATAATTAAATCTATAAAAATCCAAATTGAGTGCTTCCAAGTCTCAATGAAATATTATTAAGTTAAATTTAAAGGAAAAATAGTTTCAGGAACCAATTCTACGCTGACCAGTACCAGAATTGTACGAAATTTGACACCCTTCCAAAAGCTTAACACTGTTTCCAGATTTCAAATCCTAACTTTGAAAAATCACCATAAATCGTACACATATCCAAATGAAGTGTTCTACCCATGGATTTAAATCTCACAGAGTGTACTTTAAGCATGCCAAATTTCAGAACTAGATATGAACAGTAACTAATTCGAAAAAGTCATCAAATCAGCATGTAATTCTTCCAATTTTCACATAGATCCACTTGGATCTACCATACTTTGAGGTGTTCTAGCAAGATCTAACAACCAAACTCCCTTTCCCACTCATCAACCATTTCGACCAGCCATCAAAGGGAGAGAAGACAGATTTTTCAACCTTAAAAGAGAAGGAAAACAAGACAAGAACACATCTAGAACCAAGATCTCACCTTGAATCCTTGATTGATGACCAAAGTTGATAGCTTTTCCTTGGTTCTCCTTCAAAACCCTCTCTTTTCCCTCTTCCTCTCACTTGGACGAAATTCCATAAGCAATTAAGGGGAGAAGAAGCTCATTAATGTGTACAAAATATCCCACCAACCATCATTAATGTTATGCCAAGTGTCATTAGCCTACTTAATCTTAATCCTCTCTCTTAATTAACTTAAATCATAATGTAATTAAATTCCAAAGTCAAGATCCTCTCCATTGGTAGCTTGACACTTGGAAAGCTTTAATTACCATCCATTAAAGGCTTGACAAGTGGCGACTTATGACCCAAGTAAAGTGCAAGACTCTGATTAATACTTTATCGATGCACTTTTACTCCGGGTTTAACTTCTTTTCTATAATTACAGTGCTCTGGCCTCTA